AGATAACCTTGTAAAAACATCAAAATGCATAATAAATCAGTAAATCGTCATTTACCAATTTGTTATTGATCTTAGTTTCTTACTTTATATAATGGTTGGGAATAAGATAATAGTCTAGAAATATGTATTAATGCTTCTTTAAATCATTTTACAAAATATCATTGCATATTTCCACATTTCATAATATTTCCACAATGTCTCTAATTTTTACAATATTTCCCCTCGACATTTCCAACATTTTCGATATATGTCCTATATTTTGGTAAGCAACATTTCCATCAACATCAACATTTTAAACCTTGTTTTTGCTATCTAACTTTCAGAAGATGCCAGCCATTCAGTCTAATTTTAGACACCCCATTCACCGTCATCAGTTCAGAGGGATCTATATCACTATATCTATTTTAGCAACTTCATAACTTATTGGACATTTAAATGTAAATTGTTATCTACTTGCAAAATGTTTGGGCCACCAGTAACAATGTAAAATGGCTATTCCTAACATGCTATTTTCCCCTAGAAGATGCCTCGTGGTTACCATGTGAAATTACACTTCCCGTAAGCAACGAGTGAAAGTGCAAGGTACTTCGGCATTAGAATAGCAATATTAGATGCCTATTTAGGTCATATAAAAAAGGTGGGCATCTTAAAGTTTATGCAGTTACCATACAGTCATCAGAGGCGGGCATTGGAGAAGATTTCTATATCTAAATGTCAAATAAACATAGAAGCAACATAACCAAGTACCTGGTGCTTTGTGAGTCGGCGCCTGATTGCACGAGTCTTCTTGGGCCGGAGATCCAAAGGCACAAACTTCTTCTTCTTATATGCTTCTCTCAATGCAGCTTTCTGCTTCTGGGAAATAACAGTAAGCACACGAGCTATGGACAACCTAACAACCTTACTGCAGTAGCATGGGATTGTATGTAATACTTAATTCAGTAACTAGGCAACTTTGACCAGCAATCAACTTTAAACAAACAGGCAAAAAAATGACAACAAGCATATAGGACAACAAAAAACGAAAATAAAAACCATGCAAATTTAAACCCTACATTTTAGAAAGCTTGTTAGGTGCACCTCCGGTGACCTTAGCCACTCGGAGCAATGCAAGCTCGGCCTTAAGCTCATTAAGCTGATTCAAAAGATCAGTCTTCGACTTGGTTCGGAGTTCATGAACCTTGATCCTCGCTGTAAAAGTAAATGAATCATAGATACGGTGAGGATGATATTTAAACAATTAAAGCAACACTTGTTTTAGGTAAATACCTAGAAGTTACAAATGGAATCATAAAACAAAAATTGAGCCACAGAAACAAAGTCCATATCTCTAATGGAAAATGGAAATTAAAAAAACAAAAATAAGGTTCCAACGAATACGAGTGAAAACTAAAAATATAGCATAAAAAACGCGAGATAAGCTAAAATATTTTAACACAATAAACCATCCAAATCTCCATGAATTGCAGAGACAACCAAACTTTCATCGAAGCATAAGGTATAAAAAATATATTAATAACATAACCTACGAGACAAGAACCCTGTAAGAAACCCTAGACACGAAGTGGCTTCAGCGAGTTGGAACTTTTACCCATTTGGTGGAATGTGCAATTGGCAATTCAAGCCCCTCGGCCCTCGCTCTGCGCCTTCCGCCAAACAGAAAACGCGCTCAGCTCCTTGGAGAAATTTATAGTGGGGAGAGCTCTTAGGGTTCGTAATTTTCAATGGCGAAATTACCCTCAATAGCTTTTGTGGAGGGTCTAATTCATATTGGATGCGCTTATATCCACCCGTCGTTCCAATTCCTGATCAATTCGTATGGGCTAGGGGCTAGGGCTACACAATCGGGTATCCATGATCCATCCCCCAACCCTGGTGTAGGCGGGATTCGATCCCGGGTCTCAGCCACCTATGAATGATCAGATTTTCGTCTTTTCGATGTTACCCCACTAAATTTAAGGTTTAATTACTTAAAAGTATTCTTAAATTATTTGATAATTGCTTAAATACCCTTAAAATTCCAAGTCTTATTCAAAGTATCTCGAACTTTTAGAAATTCTTTATTTTTTGCGTTAAATTTTGCTGTTTAATTAACAAAAAAGACTCTTTATTCTCAATTATTCTTCAATTTTTCAAATCCAAGCGTTAAATTTTTTTGTGTTAAATTTCAATTTTTTTTTGCATTAATTTTTTTTTGACAAATCCAAGCGGTGTTACACGAGCCTAAGGTAGCACGTCCCCAAGAATAACAATTGGAGATCCTGTATATTAAAGTTTAAGGAGTCTAAAGGACTGAATTGGGCCTAATGAGCAAGCCAATCAGCAGCTTGATTCGCCTCACGAAAAGGCATGTCGGTACTCTAAATCAAATGCAAGCTGGGTCTTCAAAGCAATGCAGTCTTCAATGATTTTGTATGCTACACGGCGGTTGAGTTTCTCCACGAAGACAATACATGACGAGCTTAGAGTCTCCTTCTATAATTATGGGACAGTCTTTGAAGTTTAAAGCCAGATTATGGGCTTCTAATGTAGCTCAGGCCTCTGCCATATTAATTGTGGCTTTATCCAAAAAGTATGCCTTTATATCTAGAACTTTCCCGCTATAATTTCTAGCAATGGTCCCCACGAAACCATTCAAAATTAATTTTGATTGTGTTGCATTTTGGGGATTTCCAAATAATCAGTTGCCACTTTTTAGAAAATTCTCTAATAGGTTAATTCTGATGAATTTTTACATTCTCATAAAAAGCCATTTTTGCTTTATCCAAAATTTGAGGAGAGGGAGTCTCCAACTTTTCAAGAATCTTTTTGTTTATACTCTTCCAAATGAACCATAATATAATATCCGTTTTTTCTAATTTAAATTATTGTTTGTGGTTTGAAATTCTCTCCCACTAATCTTTCATATGGTACAAGTTGAAAAAATAAGTCAGCAACTTAGATCTCTAAAGGCTTGTGATCAGTGTTGATGAAGGAAGATTTGGCCCGACCTCGTAATTACTCAATGTGGGAAAGGCAACAGCTCGGCACGACAGCACGCCCAAGGCGCGAGCACCGAATGGGGGAATCAGCAGTCCGAACTCCCTACAAGGAGCCCAAACTCCCTACAAGGAGCCCGAACTCTTCCTTAGGCTCCGAACCTCACACACAGCAACGGCCCCGAACTGGCCCGCCCCATGGCAGTTCGGGACACTCCCCTATCCGAGCTCAAGACTTCACCGAGCTCGCCACTCTAGCACTTCGCCTCCAGGACGCCGAACTGAACAAACGTACCATATCTGACACCGAGGAGGTCCGTATCCAAGAACGACGCAC